GTAAAACGGTCACCAGGCAATATTATCGTTTATCGCAATAAATTTTGAGACAATTAATCGCCCAGCAAAATTTGTTATCGTGACAGGCCTAAGTGAAGCTGTGATTTTTGTGTGCATGAGTGAGAGAGAGGCTGTGTAACTGGGAGAGGATCAGATTTCAGCTTTGTTTCCAGTCTCACATTAACAGGACAATAACATTATACAATATGAAGAGGAGGAATGGGAGGCCTCATGAAGGGGAGCAGCTACACACAGACAGATATAAACACAGTGGTGTCAATTCTTTACCTTCACTGCTTTAAGACCTTCAAGGATCAGACTGAAATATTTGCCCTTATAAATACACAATCATAGGCATTCCACAGGAGTATTTAAGCTAATCATTAGCTAAACAAGTCAGTGCAATAACTTGCCAAATCTGAAGTAGTTTAATACCTGGTAACATATTTTCTAATAGTTTTCTGTTGAGTTAGGTGACTGTGATGAGAGGCAGACTCCCTTCTGTTTAGGTGTTTCTTGCAGGGTTGCTGTGGGGGTGGTTATACCTGTCAGTCAAACCAACACTTAGCTCATCACTGAAATATCTTAATAACTTGGAGATACATTTTTTAACATGCACCTCACTTAGGGTTCATACTAGCCTGATTTTGGGTTTTAGCTCTTTAATCGTTCTTATTTTTTATAGAAATATTTTTTATAATATTCTTTGTGACACATTTTATTTCCATGACCAAATACTGTACAATTTTGTGTATTTCTACTGCTTTAGTCCAAGAATCACTAACTGCATGATCAAACAAAATAAGCAGGTTTCTGATGATGTACAAGCCTGATTTATTTTGTTCTCAAACTTTTTGTCTCTTTATTCTAAGTTTCATACTGCTGGACAGGACACGGTTTAAATAAAAGCGTGTGTGTGTTTTTGTCTGACTGTGACATTTGTTTCTAACTACTTTTCCTTTTCTTGCATCTTTTGGTTGTTTTCAGTGGAAATAATGAAACCCCATTATGTACTGATATCAAAGTAATTAATAAATTAATGTTTAACACTCCATTGAACAAAAAGAGATAGTAAGAGAGCTAACCCAGCCTGTAAACAGTAAACCTGATATCACCATGTTGGAATGTAGGAAGCGTTCAAATCAAAGCACTAACTCAGTGTTGCCAGTAACGCTGACTCAGACAACCTGAAACACTTAACTTTTTTATTACGATTTCACAAAAGATGCACCTTTTATGTTAATAATCTTATTTTTCTGCATTTATTTATCCATTTATTGTGCAGAAAGCATTTTAACCTGATTACATTTACATTACATTTTAGTACAGATTGTTCTCAGATGAGAGTCGAAGTTCTTGCAGTGTGGATGCTCCTTCCTTATCATGCAGATTCTGTTTTTCACATTCTTTGCATTGTTAATGAGACATCTTTTAAGACTTCACATGACCCATTTCATTCCTGACAATGGTGGTCCCTTTTCTAAATCCTCACTTTTTCTCCCCCTGTCTGTGTGCCAACCAGGACCAGAAGTGTTTCGCAGCAACAGCAGCAGCAGTAGCAGCAGTGCCATGTCTGAAGCGGTGGCGCCTGACACGATTGTGTCTTCTGTGGCGTATGGGGAGAAGGCCGGTGGTCCTGTGCTGGACTTCAGTTATGTTGGTATCGACGCCATCCTGGAACAGATGAGGAGGAAGGCCATGAAGCAGGGTTTTGAGCTTAACATTATGGTTGTTGGTAGGTTTTAAATGTTGGTGCTAACTGAAATGATTTGGTTTGAGATATTAAATGTAATAGGACGTTCTGAGATCAAGTGTTTTGTTGTGTACCTTTTACACAAACACATCATTGGTGGGCAGAAATACATATAAAAATGGGTGCTCTACTTTGGATTTTCACTGCTCTTAAAATCTCTAAGAAAGGCAGAATAAATTTCTCCATCAGGAGCAAATAAGTATCTACTACAAGTGAAATTATTTTAGTGATGCCGCTATTTTAAGGTACTTTTGTAAAAGCTTCTTTCGCTCAAAACATGGAGTAGTCCAAGGTTTTGCAGTATTAGCCATTAAGAGCAAATGTAAAAAAAAATGCAACATAATTTTGGCTTTTGCTCTCCCACTACATAGTTACTGCATTTTGACACATAATCCCCAGTCCAAATTTCACTCGGTGCTAAATTTTGTTCTCATATTTTCTTCAAACACTCATATTCTGGGTTTATTTATCATGCAAGTCATCATTATATTCTTTTATTCCTTCGTAACAACGTCTTTACTCTTTAATCAAGAGTTTGACTGAAAGTAGATGCCTTAAACCATTTTTAATAAGCATCCACTCACAGTAGGACTTCAAACTCTCTTTCATTTAGTCGTCCTCAGTGTGATCAGACACCTTTTTTAAAACAGGAGGTAATTACACACACCTCAGCAGCAACAAGGCCTCCATAAAAGCCACAGACAATATCCTCTGGATATTGTCGCGACAGTTGTCTCAATTTTATTTATTTTTTAAGTTTCCTTTAGAAGCAGCCTTAGGGTTGAGACGGTACAAAACAAAGCGTCCTTGGCTCCTGTGTTTTTTCTGCGTTCATGTTAAATTACATTCTGGGAGGGCTGTAATAAAAATACAGGTTGGTGTCTGAGTGGAGTCAGTTTTAATATGGAAGTCAACAGAACTGTAAAGTTTCCTCTTTATGTTAATAAACATCAAAAGCACAAGAAATGGCTAAATTGTCATCTCTTCTGCTCAGTAATTTACTGATGATGTTTAAATCTGTCATTTGAAATCTATCTGCAAGGCTTAAACTCATGTTTGTTCAGCCTCCAGTGAAAACTATTGAACTTTTCCACAGCTGATTTAGACACTTTGAGCACCACAAAGGTTGGCATTAACAAAACTAAAGTGCTCCCATGAGTTCCAGATGTTATGAACTTCTGCTTTGTTAATTTCATGCTTGCTCTTTTTTTCTGTTTTGAGAGTTCATTGCCATAAATCAGGAAGCTTCTTGATGTTGACATAACCTGAAGTTGAACTTCCCAAATGGCCACTCCAAGCTCCTCCTAATTAACCCATGTTAGGACAGTAAAGTTTTAGACTCTCTTATCTGGTTAAAGAGGATTTCATCATCAAGCTGCCACAATAATTGGTCTGTTAAACACCTACAACAGCACACGACCAGTTGTGCAGTAATTTGAACAGCAAAAAATCTGTAGCAGTAGTCATGATGATATTAAAAAACTTTTTAACCAAGACAAAAAATAGTTTCAGGTTTATTTACATAGAGCTGCATTTATCTTGAGTCAGTTCTGCGAGGATTTATCATTGCGTTGACATGTAAAGGTTGGGGATTTACTTACATGTTGCCTTTCTGCTTACAGGACAGAGTGGCCTTGGAAAGTCAACTCTGATGAACACACTCTTCAAGTCAAAAGTCAGCCGGAAGTCAGTGCTGGCTACAGCTCAGGAGAAGATCCCCAAAACTGTCGAAATCAAGTCCATCAGTCATGGTACCACTTCAACAGCTACTTATCTTTGTTCTGTAGTAGAAGCTGTTTCATCCACCTGAGTAGCTGTTTGTAACAAATTATCTTTAAATCAGATAGCAGGAGATAAAATGAGCAGCTGGTTGATCATATTACATTTCTTATCTAATAAACATGTAGTATAAAAATATTATTTAAATTATACCTCAGGTAGTCTTTGAGTTGTGCTCACATTGATTCACCTTGTTTGTGTTTTTTTGTTCAGACATTGAGGAGAAGGGAGTGAGAATGAAGCTGACAGTCATTGACACACCAGGATTTGGAGACCAGATCAACAATGAAAACTGGTAAAAACTTGCAATCGCAAAAAAAAAAAAAAAAATCAGATTGAAGTTTTAGCTTCAACAGCATCTGATTTAACATTTTGCCCTGACTTGTTTTTTTTTCCATTTCTCTTTTTATTTTTTTCTACATCTGTGTCCCACTTGTTGTTTGTTAGCTGGCAGCCCATCATGAAGTTCATTAACGACCAGTACGAAGCCTACCTGCAGGAGGAAATCAACATCAACAGAAAGAAAAGGATTCCAGACTCCAGAGTTCACTGTTGCATATACTTCATCCCTCCAACCGGACACTGGTAACAAAACACACAAATAATTTGAATTTAGTGTATGAACATATATATGAAACATTTTATAAACACAAACAATTAAAAACATGTGAGCCTTTTCTGTCTGTAAAGCATCAACACAGAAATGTCACATTAAGTTGTTTTAACAGACCTGATTCTGAAACAGATTAACTTCAGCTGCTGTTTCTCTGAAAACATGCAGATATAAACAGGCCGTCTGTCTTTGTTTATCCCCAGCTTTTAAAGTATAAAACAGTGCTTTGTTACCCATCATGTTGAACACACACACTCTTTTATGTTCTCCCTAAAAACAAAGCAACATAACCCAGAACTCCCTCCTAAACTGCTGGTATAGATCCTTGATCATCCACCATATGGAAATATCAGAAAAAACTATTAAAACAACTGGACGGACTTGAAGTCCGGTTCTATTTTATTTTATTTTTTAATTTYTTTATTTCAGGGGGCGTTACCATTCCTCTCTAGCTGCTCCTGTCAAGCTTTGCAGCAGCACAGTATCCCAATTTCTCCTGAATTTCTCCCTGGATTTCGTACAGATGCAAACATCTGGCTTTGATCGAACAGCCTAATCTGCTTCGCCTCTCCTCTCCGTTGGCTCAGCTCTGCAGTTACTGGAGCTCAGGGGACTGGGGCTTACTTGCAGAGGGAGTTAATGGAAGTTTGCACATACCCTCATGTGTCCATCAAGTGATCGGCCACATTTTTGTAGTTTTCCTTCTAATTTGTGAAACTCCAGTTTAGATTTTTGTTTTAGGTTTATGAAGAACGTTCAGGCGGCTGACTCTTTTGGCCTCACACACAAAGAGAGGACTGATAACAGAACAGCTCAAGTGCTGCACTTCGATTCATTTCTGTGTCGTGCTCTGTTTTTACTCTGGCAGGGGACTGGTGTGAAATGCCCCCCCACCCCTTGTTTGGAGCCAGCTCTGTTTCATGTTGATCCAATGGTGCAGAAGTCACTTTTAGACTGAGAAGCAGCTGCTCAGGGTTTGCTCTGAAAAGCCGAACAGAAGAGAGGCAGGAAGGACGACTCAGTCTGTCTCTCTGAAGACGTGCTAAAAGTTTTGCACTTAGTCTTTTTTTGTCAATATTATTATTAAGTTTTTACAGGAGTGCACAGAACGTTATCTTTATTAGAGTAGTATTGACTTGGCCAGACTGCACCACTCTAAAAACATGATGATTTCTCAAACTACAGAAACAGTGAGTCTAACAGGAGTCACAAGTCTTTTCAACCACATGAAACTTCCATGAAAACACATGACGACTTCATAGATGCACAGTGAACAAATGCAGATCAGATTCCTTCATCTGGAACAATTATTGGGAACATCTGCCCTCTAGTGGAGGAGCTTTGTATTACACCTTTATTTCTTTCCTTTTACATTTTCGTCTCCTTCCTTCTCAGTCTGCGACCACTGGATGTAGAATTTATGAGACGTCTCAGTAAGGTGGTCAACATCGTCCCGGTCATTGCCAAGGCAGATACGCTCACACTGGAGGAGAGAGACTTTTTCAAAAAGAAGGTAATTCTTCTTTTCAGGGTTTTCTGTTTTTGCCCAGTTTCTTTCCTTTTCTTTTTACGTTGTCCGAATCTGTATTTAATAGCACAATATGTTTGATATTTATGGGATTTGTCTTGACTGATCTGAGGATTTTCTCTAGTCTTGTGTGCACTCAGATAATTATTCATCTTGTGATGCTTTTTATTTTTTACAAACTGCAGTAAAAGCCAGTCAATATTTTGTAGTAGATGAAAGTTAATCAAAATTAATGTGTTAACTCTACAAGTTATTTGTCTGATGGTTTTAAAGACTTAATTGAGCCTGTTTGTTTAATAATTTCTTCTAAAATTGGACTCTTTAAAATCTGCCAGATTAAAAGGTTGATTCTGTTTGTTTGGATCAGATCAGAGAAGAGCTGCGAGCCAACGGGATCGACGTTTACCCTCAGAAGGAGTTTGACGAGGATGCAGAGGACAGGATGATTAATGAAAAAATTAGAGTAAGAGCTTAAAGTTTATGCTTTAACCAGTTATAACAGTACTTACATTTTGACTTGATTGGTTTTTAACTCTTTAATTTGTAAATGTTTGAGCAGGAGATGATCCCTTTTGCTGTGGTGGGCAGCGATCAGGAGTACCAGGTTAACGGCAGAAGGCTGCTGGGGAGAAAGACCAAGTGGGGAACTATTGAAGGTAAATTTTCCTCCCTGAAGATCTTTAACAACAGAAGCTCAAATCCAGATTATCTGGGAAAAGGTTTGATAACAAGAGGAAAATAGGGAGGGGTTACATTAAATTGGTCATCGCTGACAGTTTTCTCTACACAGCTGGATCAGACTTCAGCAGACTGTGGGCCTGAGGAGCTCAAGTTAGTTTACTTAATGTCCCCATGGACACAAAAATAGATGCACAGTGAAAGGCTTTCATAACCACCAAGATGCAGTTAAATATGGCGCCTGTTGTTTTTGAAGACCTGATTTATAAAAGCTTGTTAAACAGAGCGACCAGTAAAGATAAAAATCTGTGTTTAGTTATAAATGATTCCCTCTGCTGCGTCACATTCATGTTTTACTGTAGCGATGGGATTCAATATTTAATTATGTTATCCGCTCCAGACAGGAGGCACCACGCCTCCTATAGAATGTCTCATTAAGGAAGTTTCATTTCCTGCAGTGTGTCTACACACACACACACACACACACACACACACACTTGCTGATCGGAGTTTTTAGTGCAGGGATGTTTATCTCCTCAGGACGACGTACAGTATCTGCAGAGATCAGAGCAGCAGGTGAGAGCAGAGTGCTGACATGACTAAAGCTTCTGTCTCTTAAAGCTGAACACAGTGGCGCCACCTGCTGGACTGTTTAGGGACTACTAAACACAAAAATTTAATTTCACATTGTTTTGATTCATTCTTTTCTTGACAGCCACACAAACAGATTCTACTTTTAGCTCAAAACTTCTACCTCTTTTTCTCTCTCCTGTAGTTGAGAACATAGCCCACTGTGAGTTTGCCTATTTACGGGACCTCCTCATCAGGTGAGTGAATTTTATTTACATATTTGAGCTGTATCGTGTCAGAAACACAATTCAGTTTTATTATGCACACAAACATACATAGCCATATAAATATATAAATGACTTATTTAATGTTAAATCTTAGTTTTGGAGTTTTATAATGTATTTGTTGACATAGATTTTTCTGGGAATTTTATTATTGTGATACACATGGATCCAATTATATTGACACAGGCCGACAGTGATCATATGTTTTTAAAACTTTTAGTTTGCTTGTTTTATTATTATTTGGATGATGATCTGTTCTGATTCATCACACAAAGTTTTGTAGCACTGATGCTGTAAACAAATTAGTTTCGCCTCATCTTATAAAGGTGGTCTGCTGATAAAAGTAGCAAAACATTCTTTCTGTTTGTATATTTTGATGCTTCAGATGCATTTCCTTTATATTCGTATGTTTGAAAACTTATATGTTCCTGTTAGAGGTTAGAGTTGTCGCCTCTCAACAACTAGGTTGCAGATTGGCCTCCTGGGTTTTCTTTGTGGGTAAAAAAAAATAGAACTAGTCCGTCTCTGTTTTTAGGACTCACATGCAGAACATTAAGGACATCACCAGCAGCATCCACTACGAAATGTACCGCGTGCGGCGCCTCAACGAGAATAACACTATGGTGGCTCATGCCAACGGCGTCCCAGAGCATCACCTGACCGCCCACGAGATGTAGACCCTCCCACCCCCACCTGCAGTTTATTGTGTTCAGCTACGAGACTTTGATGTTCAGTGACGAGTCTTCCCACCGCTCCAACTCCCGTCTCACAGGTGGGATAGAAACATGCCAGAGGGACTTTATTTTTAATGACTTTCTTCGACTTCAAGGACTCGACATGTTAGTTTATGACCTCTTTAATGTTCTTTATTCTCTGTTTATGGCTGACAAAGATGATGAAGAGAAGCCTTTAAGTTGTGCTGCAACTTCTTACAGGTCTCAGTTTATATTTGCGGTGCCAAAAATGTCTTTTCTATCAAACAGAACAGACTCTCACTCTGTGCCTTTTTTGGCTTTAGTCACTAATATTTAATGTTGTCATTTTATTTGTCTTAAAGGAATTTGTGCCACAACCAAACAGTTTTCTGTCCACCTGCTTTACCAACATGTGTGGAAACTTTTCATCTGATCACTACATAAGAAAAAAAGCATGTAGAAATAGTGCTTTAACATGCTTACAGTCAAACAATGCAGCTCTTCCCGCACAACTAAGGGTTACCAAAAAAGCACATGGTTTGATTTTGTTTTTTTATTTTTGTCACTACTTAGGTTTTTGCCTTAAATGTTTTTCTCCTGTTAAATATAGATGTCAGGTCTTTTTACGATCCCAGTTATAAATGTTGATGTTTATTAATAGAAATATCGTAAGCGTGATTTTAAAATGAAAAAGTATTTATGCACGTTATAAAATGTGAATGTTTTTCTTCAGTTGTGGTCCACTTCTTCAAATTACAAACCCAAACTTTCTGAAACGAGGAGTTTCCTGCTTTTTTAGGCCCACCGTAGTGCCTTATTTATTGGAGAATGTTTTGCTAGCAAACTGGAAAGAGAGCGAGTTTTTGGTTCCACCGGAAATACATTTTTAATCTTCTTGTGTAAGTTATCCGGAAAACGATCTCTTCCTTCGACCAGCCCACTTTACTTTTATTTACCGTAATGTACCAAGAATCTTTGTCTCTTTCCGCCGTATCTTATTCCCAAAGCTGTTCGGCTCTTTTGTATTTCTTTGTTCCGATACACTTTTTTGTATTTGTACTATTGATGATAAATTTCCCATTTTTCTTATTTTAAAGAAATAAAGATTGAATATGTAAAAGTTTTATTGTTTGTACTATTTCACTTTAATACAATTTTCACTCAGTCGAACAGTTTGTTCAATAACTCGTTTTTTTCTCCAAACTGAGGTCATTCAAAAAGCCATCTACAACAGGTAAGATATTAAGTCTTCATAACCATCCACAGAACCCCACTTCAGAACATCTGAATCCCTTAGACTCTCGTATAAATCGTTAGTTTATTTTGTTCTTTCTAACTCCGAGCCAGCTCGTACACGCTTTAGATCATTTACTGCTTCTCTGGGTCCCCACAGCCTGCAGGTGTACTCCGCTCAGTGAAACACATCGTCACGAAGCCTTTTCTTGATTAGCTTCTGAAATCAATATGGCTGCCTACTTTGGTCCGTGCACAGCTGATTAGCACTAATTACTTGAATGCATGAGCACGTCTTTTCTTCCTCAGTGAGGGAGAAGAGAGGAGACCCGAGCAGCAGAGGAGACCACCAGTCTGTGAGGAAGTGCCGATGTCAGCGTCTGGAGGTACTTAGGCAGCAGCATCTAAACAGGGTTAAACTAATGGCTAAATTGACTTCATTTTAACTGATTTTTATTCTTGGAATGCTCTGATTTACCTAAAGTAAAAACAATCCTGCATGATGTCCTGTTTAAAGGTTTGTTCATTTTTAAAGGGATCCCTGATTAGTTGTAACATCAGAATTTATTTGATAAACATATATTTTATATGTACAATAAAGACTGTAAAAATACTGTAGGCTGTTTAGTTTTGTAAATTTTTAAATATATATTTTAACACGGACGGAGCCATTTTATTTACACACAAAGCATTCTGGGTAAATGATGTGGATAGGTCCTCGTTGTGAGCGAGCTATATCCACCCTGAAGGTTAATCTTGGACAATATCTCATGATCAACTCTTTTAAATGAAACCAGAGAGTGTTGACAGAGGAGAAGGTAGAAATGGCTCAGCCTGTAACTGAAAATATGGATGGAGGACAACAGAGCTGCTTCATGGAAGAAGAACCTCAGCTTAGCCTGTTAGCCTTTATGCTAGCGCTGATACTATATCGTATTATATGTATTAGCTCGGTGCTAGCGCGACAAACAAGCTAAACTGTTGTCCTCCATCCATATTTTCAGTTSCAGGCTGAGTCATTTCTACCTTCTCCTCTCTGTCAACGCTCTCTGGTTTCATTTAAAAGAGTCGATCATCAGATATTGTCCAAGATTAACCTTCAGGGTGGATATAGCTCGCTAGCAGCCTCGCACCGATGACCTAGTTGATGTCATCATTTACCCAGAATGCTTTGCGTGTAAATACAATGGCCCCGTCCGTGTAATATATTTTTAAACTTTTAGTTTAAAAATGATAAAAACTAAACAGCCTACAGTATTTTTACAGTCTTTATTTTACAGTTAAAATATATGTTTGTCAAATAAAGTCTAATGTTACAACTAATCGGGGATCCCTTTAATGACTTAATTCTGAAAACGTTGCCCACTGTCCCTCCATTGCTTTCATCCAGCGTACACCTTTAACACAGTCATTACTGGGACCCTCTTGAACCCCTTGTCGCCCCCCCCCCCCCACCCGCTCCCCAGCTCCTCCTCCAGAAGAGAACGTCAGAGAAGCAGCTGCAGCTCCGCTCGGCGCTGGGCCGTGACTCGTCGCCACCAAGCAGGCGTCTCGCTGGCACCCACCCAACACTTCACCGCCCGTTTTAATGACTTTCATTAACAAGCTGCATGCTGTATGGATACTAATGAAGTTGGCATTTCCAAGAGAGGCAGAGACGGTTCGTTTGAAAGGCTTTGCATGTGTGGAGCTGGGTTTCAGTCTTAGAAGCACACGTGGAGTTAAACTGGTGGATGTTTCAGATTGCTCTGCTGCAGCGGTTTCTCCACACGGTGACGCCAGCTTTGCCGCGATGCTGCAGGATTTTACCACAAATGCATGCAAGCCATACCCCTCTCACAATAGGTGAGCAAAAACCCATTACAGGCTTGAAAGGTGGGGAGTATTAACAGGGGCCTTCTGATTGATCAGAGTGATGGATGCTGCCTATCTGAGCAGGATGAGACCTCTGGAAAAGAAGCAGTTTTACACATCTTCATCCATGATTTTTAGGATCATAAACTAATTTAAAGGATTTCTTTTAGTAGTAATTTGAACCCCCTTACACACACACACACACACACACATATTTGACATATTTTAGGTTTGTGTGCATAACTTAAATTACAGCTTTTTTTGCCACATCTGGTTCCAAATCCACCCTGTTTATCTGCACGCAGGCACCAGTTTGCCACCAATTAACACCTGTTTGTAAGATGAGCATAACGATACGGCATCGCGTTATGTTTCCCCCCCTCTGATTCGTTAATTAGTTAACTTGATTGCGAAATCTGAAGTTATCTGCCTGAGCGTGCATGTATTATTTCCTCTGCATGCATTTGCGTTTCTGTTTCGACATGTCTCCTCCTCTCCTTTGTTGGCAGCCGCATCACCTTCTCCTGCGCCACCCGTCCCCCCACTCCCCCTCTGAAACCAGTTTCCACTCTGGCGTTTGGCTCTGTGCCAGGCTCTCAGACATGCAGATGGGGGAGTGAGTCTATATGCAAATGATCTGACTTTATGCAAATCAGCTCTGCTGTTAATTAACAGTCAGCTGCAAATTCAATTAGCTGTCTGCGAAGCGAGGGTGGAAATGGGTTTGCGCCGATGGATGTGGCACAGATATGCGAGGAAAATTCCCCAAACGTCTTGTCAGCAAGAATTCAGTAAAACAAAGCCCAAAGGCTCGTGTAGTCGTGGAATAAAAGTCTTACATCTGGGCGTGTGTTGGACAATCGAAGTACGAACCATGAGGTTTTTGATCAAGTGATGCTGGTTTGCATTCAGAGCGAGACGGACGGAGGAGCCGAGGAGAAATCACTGGGAATCCCAAATTATTAATGAAACCATCGCATGGAACCAAAATTCAGTTTCAGGGGAAAGAGCTGCTGCGTAGCTCGATGTTAAAACACGAACGTTGTCTAAGAGACATCTCTCTGTAGAAGAGGAGAGGTGGGAGGAGTGTCGTCACCCTGCCAGGAGCCGTGAGCAGAGGTGATGGATGGGCAGAGCACGAAGGGAGGAGGAATCTTTTAGAAACTTATTGGAGCATTTCTTTTTCTGTTTGCAGATAAAACCTGAAGGGGAAAAAACAGGTAAAGAAGGATAACAGAGAGTAAAGTGACAAACCAGTTAGTTACTTATCAAGAAAACTTGAGATAAATATACTCAAATCATTGCTTTTATATAATTTCTTATTTGCTTTATCAATGATTAATTTCACATTTGACAAGAAAACTTTAGTCTGAAGAGCAGTTCATGAGAATAAAATGAAGTTGTTGATGGATGCAAAGAGGAGACATGTTTATCTTTGAGATTATCTTTGAATTACCCCTCATRTTGTTGAAAGTGAGGTGAGAAGTAAATCCTTGTGGAAATTTAGATTTTTACTTTTTCTGGTTGCTCCCCTCTGCAGGTTTTCTTTCATTTATTTATTTAAAAGGACAGTTCACATTAATCAATATTCTGTGAATATAAATGTGCCGGAATTGGCACAACAGCTAAATTTCATCCATAGTTCTTCAAATAGAAAAAAAATTGTATAGGTCTTCTGGACGGGATCTTCTCTAATGAAACGTTTCGTCTCTCCTCCAAGAGACTTCTTCAGTCTGAGAGTTTCAGGCTAAATTCAGGCTTTTAAGCCCTGCCTCCATGATACTCACATCACATGGCTATCATTGACACCTAATTAACACCTATTGTTAACAGGGTTGGAGTAATGCTGGCAAGAGCCACGATGTAGGAGGGGGACAACTGAAAACGGAGGCCTCCACCTCTGTTTAATGATGGAYGGTCTTTCTTCACAAAAATGGCTTCTTTTACTCCTCTCTCAAACCAACGTTCCTCYCTATCAAGAATGAGAACATCCTCATCTCTGAAAGAGTGACCGCTGGCCTGTAAATGAGTGAAAACTGCAGAGTTCTGGCCATTAGATGTAGCTCGTCTGTGTTGGGACATTCTTTTGAACAGTGGCTGCTTTGTTTCCCCGATGTATAACTGGTCGCAGTCCTCCTGGCACTTAACAGCATATACAACATTGCTCTGTTTGTGCCGGGGCACCGGATCTTTGGGGTGAATCAGCCTTTGCCGTAATGTGTTTTGGGGTTTGAAAGCTACTGGGACATCATGTTTAGAAAATAAACGTCTCAGTTTCTCCGAAACACCCGCAACATACGGAATAACCACTGGTTTGGGTCTGGGTTTGGGGTCTTCATTTTCACCTGAAGGTTGCATGGAATCCTGTCTGTGTTTCCTGTCTGCTTTCAGGAAAGCCCAGTCAGGATAACCACACTGCTCCAGRGCCTGTCGTGTGTGTGATTTCTCTTTCTGCCTGGCTCCTGGGTTTGTAGGGACACTGTCTGCTCTGTGGTACAGAGTCCTGATCACTCCTAACTTGTGTTCCAGTGGGTGGTGGGAGTCAAAACGCAAATATTGGTCTGTGTGGGTGGGCTTACGTTACACGCCAGTTTCCAACCGTCCTCCATCCGAAACCGAGACATTGCAATCCAGGAACGCCAACCTGCCATTTTTTTACATCCTCTCGTGTGAACTTAATATATTCATCCACAGAGTTGATGTGATCAGTGAAATGTTGGACTTCCTGGGCTTTAATTTTAACCCAGGTGTCGTCAACATATCTGAACCAATGGCTCGGTGGCACCCCTGAAAAGGACATCAAGGCTCTCTTTTCCACTTCCTCCATGTACAGGTTTGCAACAATAGGAGAAACTGGGGATCCCATGGCACACCCATGTTTCTGCCTATAATACTGAGATGCATCAGGTCATAGTTCTTCACAACAAATAAACTCTCCTAAAGGATTTG